GTGTAAGTGCACTTGAAGTCACTTTGGATAAAAGTGTCTGCTAAATCACTACTTGCACAAGGAACTGGTTGTTAGGCATCATTCACAGTTGTACAAAACAATGTTCTATAAAAAAACAATGCTTAATAAAAACAAACAAACAAACAAAAACCTTATTATTTTTGTTTGAATTTAAAAAATGCAACATATTTATATTTATTTATTTATTTAATTATGTGTGACTGGCTGAGCCTTATTTAGAAATCCTAAATGTTCATACTTTATTTAAAAAAATATTATCATGTTTTAGTCAATTTTAGTTTGTTTTGTATTACGTTTTATTACATCATCATTTTGATTGTATTTTATTAAATATTTTATATATATATATATTATTATTTTTTTTTGTATTTAAGTATTTAAGTACATTAAGTACATTAAGTAAATGTTGTATTTAAAAACTATTGTTTTATATTAATAATATAATACATATTTATATTTATACATATTTATATAGTCATGATACATAATACATGATTTTGAGTTGTATCATGTTTAGGATTTGCCAACTTATTAGCTGAAAAGTAATTTTAATACACCAGCAGATTAAAAGAGAAACCAGTCCCATAATTTGTTAATATTTCATTCCCCCTTCTCTTTCTGGTTGTGTCATATTGTTAACACTAGGTGGCGCTTTCATCAAAGAAGTGAATGAGGTGAAAGAGTCTTTGCATAAAGTCATTCAGGCCCATTATATGTGCACAGTGATTGTCACGTGGACATGTTTTATGGGAGAGACACCATTAGATTGTCTAATACCCTGATTTCCCTGATCCCTAGTGCTTTCCGTTTTATCTCCTCCACACTGGACCATTTTATGCACTATTTTTGAAGGCAGAAGAGAACTTTACAGACACTGAGGAGGGACAGACGGCTGCTCTGAAAAGGCACCTGTGTGTGCAACCATCCAATTAGTAGCGTAGCAGAGGAGGCCACAAACACAGACCCTGCCAACTGACGCTCAACTCTAATGCACTGGGATCTGACATTGTTTTTAAAGTAGTAAGAATAGCGCTCTAGGCACAAACAAGTCAAGGACGCCTAATAGAGAGAACTGGCTGCCCCACATAAAGCCTGAAAGAGGAGACTTTGGAAAGTTTGCAGGCACAGCTGTTGGGTTTCATTCAGGGCTGAGAGTAAACGAATTACGCTATGTATTTATTCATAACTCTGCCGGGCTGATTTCCAAAGGTGAAGTGTAACATCCACTGTATGTTTTATGATGAATGCTGCTTAGATCATGACTACAGATAGATAGATAGACAGACAGACAGACAGATTGATAGATGGATGGATGGATGGATGGATGGACGGACGGACGGACGGACAGATAGACAGACAGATAGATAGATAGATAGATAGATATAGAGATACAGACAGACAGACATATAGATCGGTAGACAGACAGACAGACAGACAGATATATAGATAGATAGATAGATAGATAGACAGATAGATAGGTAGACAGACAGACAGACAGATATATAGATAGACAGATAGATAGATAGATAGATAGATAGAGACAGACAGACATATAGATAGGGATATAGAGATACAGACAGACAGACAGACAGATATAGATATAGATAGATAGATAGATAGATAGATAGATAGATAGATATAGAGATACAGACAGACAGACATATAGGTAGACAGACAGACAGACAGACAGACAGATATATAGATAGATAGATAGATAGATAGATAGATACAGACAGA